ATCAGGCACCCGAGCCCCCTACCAGAGCCGCCAAAGGCTGGGGTCGGGGTAGAGGACGACCACGTGGTGCAGCCCGAGCACCTGCGAGAGCTGCGTCAGAGGAGCCCCCAGTAGCTCCAGCTGGAGGGCCAGCACCGGAGATCCCTACTGCTACTCCAGCCCTCCAGGAGACTTTAGCTCAGTTCATGAGCATGTTCAGCACTCTGGCTCAGGCTAGACTATTTTCCGATAGCTCCCGCTACATCTGAGGCCGGGGGAGGGGCACAGACTCCCGCAGCCCACACTCCTAAGCAGAGGGTCTAGGTTGATCAGGCCCAGAGTATATTCCTATGCCCCCAGTGGCTCCGGTTCAGCATGAGATCAGGGTAGCTACTTCTGAGGCAGAGCAGCTCAGACTTGAGAAGTACAAGAAGTACTACCCACCTACTTTCAGCGGACTAGCTTCAGATAATGCTCTAGGTTGTTTTGAGGAGTGTCAACGTATTTTCCGCACTATGGGCATTGTGGAGACGATTGGGGTTTCTTTCACCGCTTTCCAGCTGATGGGAGCAGCATATCAGTGGTGGCATGCCTATGAACTGAGTAGTCCGGACGAGGCACCCTTACTCACTTGGACTCAGTTTTCAGAGATGTTCTTGCTTGAGTATGTTCCTCAAAGCCTCAGGGATGCTTGGCGCACAGATTTTGAGTAGATGCATCAAGGTGCTATGACTGTGTCGGAGTATGCAGTCTGTTTCAGTGAGTTAGCTCGCCATGCACCGGATCTGGTTGCTACAGTCAAAGAGAGGGTTCGTCGCTTCATTGAGGGACTCCACCCCAGTATTCGGACCAGTATGGCCAGGGAGTTGGAGATGGACATCACTTATCAGCAGGCAGTGAGCATTGCCAGGAGAGTGGAGGGCATGTTCGCCCGGGACCGAGAGGAGAGAGAGGCCAAGAGGTCTCGAGAGACTGGTCATTATTCAAGAGCTCGTGCACTAGTAGCACGCTATGGTAGGGTTTTGTGAGTTGCCCTATTCATTCAGATCTTCCAGCAGCCAGCGGTGTTCCAGATCCTCCTAGACCTCAGAAGCCCTATTATGCACCGCCAGTATCCAGTATGCCTCCTACTCGAGGTGCTATTACCGTCCAGTCCAGCAGGCCAGACCCAAATCAGTCTCAACCACCACATCCTCCGAGGGGTTGTTTTGAGTGTGGTGACACTCGTCACATGGTTAGAGATTGCCCCAGATCCAGGAGGGGTGCACTTCTACAGACCTATCAGCCTCCACGTGCTCCACCGGGTCCTCCGGCCATTCTTCCAGCACCAACTGCCACCCCACCTCCTCAGCCAGCTCGAGGTGGAGGTCGGGGAGGTCGAGGTCACCCTAGAGGGGGAGGCCAGACCAGGTACTATGCCCTTCCAGCCCGTTCAGAGATCGTTGCTTCAGATTCAGTCATCACAGGTATCGTCCCTATCTGTCATAGGGTGGTTGAGGTCCCGAGGGCCTCGGGTGAGTTTCGGATGGTTAACGGATCAAATATTTGACTTAAAAAGTTGCTGTAATTTTTCCTTCTGCTGGATATTTTTGGGCTGTGATCGAGCTCAAGATCGAGCCCAGGTATCGAGCCCAGGGTCGACGGCCTGAGGCAAAGCCATAGACGAGGCTCAGTATCGAAGCCAAGATCGAAGGTCCAGCTCGAGGGCCATGATCGAAGGGAATGCTCGAGGGCCATGATCGAGACCCAAGATCGAGGGTCACAATCGAAGGCTCAGGCTCGATGCCATGATCAAGGCTATGATCGAAGGACCAGGCTCGATGCCATAATCGAGGCCATGACCGAGGTCCAGGCTCGAGCCTGTGATCGAAGCCACGATCGAGGCCTAGGCTCGAGGGCCATGATCGAAGCTACGATCGAGGCCCGATTCCGAAGGCTGCCTGGGCAGTTTTATAAAAAGAAGGCATTCGTCCCATTAGCCATTTTAAACAAATTGGAGCTTGAGCAGAGGCGATTTTGGATAGATTTTCAAGGAAAGACATTGGGGTAAGTGATTCTAACTCGGATTTAGTTTATATACACAAATATATTATTGGTTTCACCATTTAATTAATGTTTTGAGATTGAAATTTGGGAAATTTTTTGAAATCTCATATAAACTAATTTTTGAGATTTCGGTATCGATTCGGAGTCGGATTTGAGTGAAACTGGTATGGTTGGACTCGTAATTAAATGGGTTGTCGGATTTTATAACTTTCGCTGGATTCTGAGACGTGGGCCTCACGGACGAATTTTAAATTAATTTCGGGATTTTATTGAAAATGTAGTATTTTCTTATAGAATTGATTCCTGTAAATTTTAATGATTGTATCGAATTATTTTGGCTAGATTCGAGCCAGACAGAGTTGGATAATCGAGGAAAGGGTCTACTAGTGGATTAAATTGGAACAAGACGAGGTAAGTCTCTTGTCTAATCTTATGAGGGGGAAAATTACCTCATAGGTGATTAAATTGAATAATTTTTGCTAATTGTGGGGGCTACGTACGCACGAGGTGACGAGAGTCTATGCGTAGCTACTATTAATACTAAAGTTTGGGTAGTTTAGGACTCAAAAGCATGAATTACTTGTGTAAATGGTAGTCTTTACTTAATTAAATTATTTGATATATTTATATATATGTGTTGTGAATTGTTAGATAAAAATATTAAAGGATGAAAATCTCATATGCTTGAATTTCTGTTTAAATTGATTAATTGTTAAGAGAAATTGTTCTTCCTCCTGAAATTATGTTATAATAAATATACTCTCATTCCGTAGGTACATAAGAAAATGTCCTTCTTTCTTATGGAGCGGGCCGAACGCCTCGGCAGGATAGATGCATCTATGGATTGTGTCGCACGTCCCTCGGCAGTATACACGAAACTCTGGATCGGGCCGTACGACCTCGGCAGAAATCGTGCTTAATAATAATAATAATTACACGATACTTGGACAGTTTATTGCAGCTTGTAAAGCTATTTGATAAATTGGAAATTGTTGCATTTGAATGATTTTTATTATTTCTGCTAATTGAATAAAATTATTGTTAACTCTGTGAATCATGCTGGTTTGAATAATTATAATCTATTCCATTTATTATTGTTGACCCTTAGTGAGTGTCAAAGTCGGTCATCTCGTCTCTACCACTTCGAAATTAGGCTTGATAATTACTGGGTACGCGTTGTTTACGTACTCATGCTACACTTGCTGCACTTTTTTGTGCAGGATCCGAGACAGATACTAGTGGAGGACCTATCATCGCACATCCTCGTTATCCAGGGGCGTAGTGGTGAGCTGCTTTTTTGAGCCGTCCTGCAGCTACCAATGCCTCTTCTTGTATTCTTAATTCTATCTATTTTCATTTCAGACATTATTTGGAGTTTTGTATAATCTATTAGATGCTCATACACTTGTGACACCAGGTCTTGGCACACACATTGGTAGAATATGGTATTTTATTATTTTTCTTGGATTAAAAGTTTAATCAATAGATGTTTAATTTATTGGTTGGCTTGCCTAGCTATAGTGTTGGGCGTCATCACGACCTATAGGTGAAATTGTGTCGTGACAACACTACCCTCCCTAGACCCCACAGCGTGGGATAATACTGGGTATGTTGTTATTGTTATTGTTGTTGACCTTTAAATATTGAAATATCACTATAGTAATCTTAAATTTTTTAGGTTTCTTAATAGTAGGTTTACAAGACTTCTGCCGAAAGACTTTCACACAATTCAAAATGCATATACTTAAAACTTGATATTATCGTTCACCGATTTTTTTTATTACGATTTGTGCAATTGATATTTTGATGCGGCAGATTTAGGTACCAAACAATCCTGTCCAATGGACATGATTTATTCGAGATCAATTGTTTGATTTTACCACCTGTTACTATTAAATGAGGATTTTTTCTTTTGAATAACATTGTAATTACAATCAATTTTGGGAGATCCAAAGAAAACCCATTCAAGATGGGACTCAATTTTTTAACTTAAGTAACCAAAAATAGTAACGCTAAAAGTTTCAAAGCAATATTTCTGTTGGGACTGATTTCCTTCCGTTATGTAACCACTAATTAAAACGTAAAGTTTCGAAGTCAAACTTTATTTTTGTACGGGCTAACTTAAGCAACGAGTAACTAAAACTACTAAGCTCTAAAGTAAAAACTTTTTGTAGTGGAATTTAAAATACACAATTTCTTTCCTTTTTCTATTTGAACTATAATCCTTTTACGAGTCATGTATTTATTTATTTGGTGTAAATATTCAATAAAATAAATTCTTACCTAATTTTATATTGGTATTTCAATACCAAATTACTTCATTAAATTTTCTTGTGTGTTTCTTCTCTATGAATGCTAATATATGGTACACCTTCTCCTACAACTGACATAAGTGTTTCGTCATAATGGAACAATCAAGCGTCATAAAGAGAACATACACGAAAAAATTTATTTACAAAGAAGTACTTATTAGGTAATAAAGATATGAATAAGTACATATAATATCTAGCATAGCTTAATAATATTTATAGGCTCATACGATGTCAAGTCATTTTGATTTCAAGTATATATATTTGAATGTAATAACATTTTTTCATTATTGCATTTTCTTCCACATTAATTGTTACATTTATATAAATAATGTCTTCATAAATTTAATTTATTTTTTCACACGAATAACTAATACAAGATTTTGATAGACTCATTATGTACGTACAGTTGATAACGTGCAAAGCACGTTCATAGAAACTAGTTATATTAAAAGCACAAAGACATTTAGCGAAATATCGTTCTGTCTTTTTTACCCTTTTTATTTTTTGGTAATTAAACATTTTCCATTTATCACCAATGTAACTTTACAAAACCACAGTTGACAGTTGGCATTTATCTCAGCCCCCTGTCTCATCTAGAATGCCTATCTATACCTGTACATACATCAATAATCCTCAGATCCTATGTACTAGTCTACTTCTAATTCACAATTTAAGCTGCTGCATGAGTGTCCTAGTTTGAGCTGAAGCTCTCACATTACATACACATGCAACATTTCTAGCTAACTCTTCTACTTCCCTGCTTCGTTTCTCAAAGATTCTGAGATTTCTCTCATTCCAAATCATGTGCATTGTCTCAGCATATACCATTTTGAAGACAGTTGCACTCCTTGATTTCCCTTTTGCATGTTCCACTCCCCATTTCCAATGTTGGTCCCATGAATTTGCACAGTAAGGTTGCCTTTGCATCCATTGTAGTATCCTCTTCCATATACTCTTGGCAAACTCGCATTCAACAAACATATGATTTCTGCTTTCATCATAGGATTGGCATAGTACGCATAGAGTATCCACCTGCATTCCCCATCGAGTCAGCCTGTCACTTGTCATCATCCTATCCTGAAAACATAACCACATGGTGAATTTAGCTTTAGCTCTTGCCTCATCCCCAAACATAAACAACTTCCATTCCACTCTTGGTAATTGACCCAGCATCAGGTAGTATATTTGTCTAATCATGCTCCTATTGTTCCTAGTCTGAATTTGAGTCAATCCCTTGCCTCAATCATCTTTCTGACTAGCCAAGATGCCTGCTGAGGTATTGGCATATCAGAGATCTGTTTTCCTTTTATGTTGTAAGCATGTATCCATTTGATCCCCGTTTTGTCCCCTTTGTGTGCAAGATCCCAATAATTCTTTGTTGTTGCTGCTCTGTTCCATACTTTAAGGTTGATTAAATTTAGTCCACCTGCACTTTTAGGTGTACATATTTTCTCCCAAGCCACTAGTGATCTTCTTGTGATGACATTCTCTCCCGACCATACATAATCCTGCAATAAGCTTTGATTGTCTTCAGCACTTTGCTAGGTATCAGGAACAGCTGTGACCAATAAAGCTTGGATGCCAAACAGGACAGATTGCACTAACTGTATACGACCAGCATATGAAAGCTTTTTTGCAGTCCATGATGAGATTCTTGCTACCATTTTCTTAATGAGGGGTTGCCATTGAGCTATTAACATCTTCTTAGTGGACAACGGGACTCCTAAATACTTGACTGGTAACTCACCTCTGGCATATCCAAGCTTCTGCAATATCTCTTCTCTTACCAATTGTGTTACTCCTCCAAAGTAGATTGAGCTCTTCTCTTGGTTAGCTTCCAAGCCTGAGGCCTCATAAAATTGATTGAGGCACTGTTGCAGTTGAGTGACTTATGCCATATCACCCCTTGCAAAGAGCAGCAGATCATCTGCAAAGCTAAGATGAGTAATTCCCAGTTTGGAACATCTGGGATGATATTTGAAACCACTTTTCTTTTTCAATCCATTTAGGCAACAACTCAAGTACTCCGTAGCAATTGCAAAAAGGAAAGGAGACATAGGATCTCCCTGCCTCAACCCTTTAGCTGCTGGGAATGGTTCTGTAGGTTCCCCATTTATAATTATAGAGTAGCTCACTGTTTTCACACAAGCAAGCACCCACTGTTTGAAATCTGCTTGGAAATCCTAGTTCTACCATCACTTGCTCCAAAACAATCCATTCCACAGAGTCGTAGGCTTTTGTTAGGTCAATTTTGATCATACATCTTGGGGAGGAGTTCTTCCTTGTGTATGCCTTAACAAGCTCATGAGAGAGAATTATGTTGTATGCTATTTTCCTCCCAAGAATGAATCCAGCTTGAGCTTCACTTATAACACTAGCAATTACTCTTTGCAATCTATTTGCTAGTATTTTATATATGATCTTATATAGGACAGTGCAGCAAGCAATAGGTCTGAATTCCTTTGTTGTTGTTGGGTTACTCACTTTAGGGACAAGTGTGATTGTTGTGCAATTTATAGCTTTGTAGAGTCTACCAGTAATGAAAAACTCCTGGACTGCTTGCACTATCTCTTGTTTCATTATAGGCCATGCCTTTTTAAAGAAGCATGAATTGTAGCCATTAACTCCAGGGGCCTTGTCCTCGTGGATAGTACATAGACCCTCATATATCTCCTCCACTGAGACTTGTGCAATTAAGCTGAGTTGTTGATCATGAGTGAGCTTGGGACCATTTTGCATAATCTCTTTATTGATTGCTGGCAAGGACTTAGCAGAAGAGCCCATCAGATTTTTATAAAAGCTGACAAACTCTTCTTTGATGCTAGCAGGATTAGTTAGCTTCCATCCATCCATAGTTGTAATCTCCAGAATCTATTTCCTGTGGCTTCTTTCTTTCATAATAGCAGAGAAATACTTAGTGTTAGCATCTCCTAGAGTGATCCATTTTACCCTTGACTTTTGCTTCAGAATGCTCTCTTCAATTAATGACCATTTCTCTAACTGCTGAAGTGTGTGCTTCTCTTGTTCTAGTAGGTTGTCAGTGTAGTGTTGTTGCATCTTTTCCTGTACTGTGATGAGGTCCAACCTAGCATTCTCAATTCTCTGTGTTATGCCCTTATATTCTTCAGTGTTAAGCCTTCTAAACAATGGTTTAAGGGCTTTGAATTTTTTCCAGATGTCCTCCATTTTATCCACGGCCATTCTCCTCTTCCATATGCTCTCCACCATTGCTTCAAAATCCTTAGGAGTTGCCCACACATTAAAGAATCTAAAAGGTGATTTAATATTGAGCCTTACAGATTTTATATTGAGTAACATAGGTGAGTGATCAGATATCAATGGATTGTCATACTCAGTGCACACATTGCCCCAGTTCATCATCCACATATCATTGCCAAATACTCTATCAATCCTGCTAAGTATCCTGTCAGCTCCTTGTTCTTTATTTCAACCAAATATAATATTCTCCTTTCCATGGCAGCTCATTCAAAAAAAGGTTATGTATGCATTCTGAGAAGTCAGCCATTTCACTCATTGTGGCTGGATTTCCATACAACCTATCCTGCGTATACAGTATGGCATTGAAATCTTTTTTACCCTTTAAAAATAGAGTTTACACGGGACAAAATAGTCATTTGATTATTTTCCTAATATTTAGGAATAGTCATTTAATTAATTCTCTACTATTTAGAAATATCCATATAATTAATTTTCTACTTTTTAGGAATAATCATTAAATTATTTCCCTAAAATAAATTCAAATTTGACCTTATATAAATTAGTTTTATTTAAATTATGTAACTTAATAATTATTATGAAAGAGGGACCCACGAAAATTCTTCAAACGAAATCTAAGAAATTAATTCAATTTACCGTCATTGAGATTTGTTGCTCTAGGTTTAGGAGTTTCTGTGTTATGGTACTATAATCAATTAAGCATTCATAATTTAATCATTTTATTTTAAAAAAAACAGTAAGCAACAACAAATAAAGTTGGTTACTGAATTAGAGCCCAAAAAATAAAACTACAAATAATGTTGGCTACTTCTTTTCTTTTTTTCTATATATGAGTTGTACATGATTTTATTGGTTAAATTCTTTTTTATTTGTATTATATAAAGCCAAATACCCCTATAAAAGAAGTCATTAATGACCTTATTGAAGTTATTTTACCTTATTTAAATTAAATAATTTGTTTATAATATTTTATTTATTGTTCGTAAACGTACGCTAGGGACATGCACATATGAATTTTATAAAGAAATCTTTAAACTTCATTCAACATATATTTTTTCCCAAATTAGATATATAAACTATTGTATATGCATCAATTTTCTATAATTATTTTCCTGTAAATATTCTGTCATTAAAAGTGTAGTCCATATTTTGACTTATTTCCGGTTAGTATTAGGTCACAAAAATAACAACAAATTTCATAAAATATTCCCATATTTCTTTAGAAATCGTAATAAGGCATTTGAGGATTTATGTAGAGAAGGATTTCTTCCTTTATTAAGATAGCTAAATAGATCAATATTTACTAATTTCAAGATCTCACACTTAGAAACTTATATATTCATTGATATGGAGTACACGCGTGAAACGCGTACCCTATATTAAAAGTACAAAGTCCCGTAGCGAAATTTCGTTCGCCTTTTATGCCCATTAAAAATATATTTATATTGAACACAATAGTAATTTAACTTATTTTCCTACTATAAGAATAGTCGCTAATTCTTTTTCTAATACTAAAAATAGCTAGTTAATTATTTGCCTAATGTTTAGGACTATTAGGACTTTAATTTGAAAAATCATAATATTCATTTAATTATTTGCCTAATGTTTAGGACTATTAGGACTTTAATTTGAAAAATCATAATATTCATTTAATTATTTGCCTAATACTTAGGATTTTTATTTAAAAAATCATATTATTTCTCTCAAATCCTTTTCAAGAGTCCTTCACTATCAACTCCATTTAAGTTTAGGAGTATTTTTAGGACCACGAGTGTTATTTTTTGTTATAAAAGTTTTACTTTTGGAGTTCCTATTTTTCTTTTCTTCTTCAGTTTTAGTTCCGTTTACTAGGTTATGGGTACATTTTTGGGTTATGAAATTTTACCTTTAATAGGCCTTATTTTTCTTTTCTTTTTTAGAACTCTTTTTCTTTGTCTATTGAAACTATACATGATTTTACCTAATATAGATTCTTTCCCTTTTTCAATTGCATTGGCAAATACTTCTATAAAAAAAGAAGTATTCCACGGTCTTCATTATCATAGGTTGGCTTTCGTTATTAGGTCTCTAGCTTTGTGAGTTTCCGGGTTTTCTTTATTTGAGAAAAATATTCTATATTTATTTATGCTTGAATTTTTGGCTTTTTAATTGTGATCATTATTTTCTAGGTTATGTTTAACTTTCGATATAAGAAGAATAAGTACTTCAACTATGTTAGCATGCATGCCTCTTCTTTTTGAACTTTTATTTGTAAGATCTGTATGTTAAATTGAATAGAGGAAGTCTTTATATTCTTATACAAGTTATTTTACTGTAATTTTTGATTCGTTTGATAGAACGACTAATTGGGTGATGAGTCGAGTTTCTCGTTGTTAAACTTTCTTCGACTACTGAATTAACATTAGTTGCTTTTACTAATTATTTATACTACGTGCTTGACATATTGTACAAATCCAATAGTTACAAATAACTATTTTTTTTATTTTGTTAATATGACTTCTTTTTTAAAAAAAGGGATATGTTGATCGACTTCAAATACCATTAGTACAAAAAAAGGGTGACCATAATATATAAAATTACTTCTTCTCTTTATTTTTGTTGTCGTATTTTAGACAATATTTATGCGCTATGTTTTATCGTTTGAAAATAATTAAACTTTTATTAGATAAAATTATAATTACAGTTAAATATTAAAAATTGATACGAGCTAATATTAAGAATTTGAATCGACAAGAACTAAATTATTTAGAATAGATAATTAAGTCTTTGATTTAGATAATTAGCAAAATATATCAATTTAGTTTTTTTAAGAAATTCATCATATAAGTAAAATTATTTTTTCAAGTTGATAGGTTCTTAGGGTTCATAAATTTATTTCCATAAGCACAATGCTGCTAGTAAAGGATATCCAAAAAAATAGAGCAAAACAAGTTATAATACAGTATTGCAAGTTAAATTGG